AAAAATGTTAGTAGTTTTTTTTTTCTTACTCATAATTATAACAATTTTTAACTATTTTGTTGCTTCATTTCTCTGTGGCGACATGGAGCAAAATCGTTCGCTCATTAGCTCATTGGACCATTCGATTATCAGCTCATTCGATCCTCGCGCTGCGCCGCGTCGATTTCCGCACACGACGTAGTGTGACTGCCTGCAAATTAAAGGCAACAAGTATCCAGAATTTTGTTTATAGCTTCTCCTCCCAGCAGGTGGTCAGGTCATCTAAAATTTAGCGCGTGTTGAAAAAAAAGCTGTTGAAAGAATTACACATATACACTACTACTATTGCATTTGCTGTTCGTACGTACATACATATGCATATATATATAGTGTTTGGAAAAAATTCGCCATTTGTGGCTCTTGGGAAAAAATTCGTCTTAAGCAAACTTCGCATCTTCGTAGAGTGTGATCATTTGATCCCCTTGACTTGGACTACGCGATAAGTTTTGTTGGCCCCCTTTATTACTTCATCTCATCACTTATTTTTTGTACTGGCCGGGCGTAATATAGCACGCACACACGACACATGCGGCTTCGTCTTCTGCTTCTCCTTCTCCTCCCCCTCCGCCTAGACGTTGTATCCCTTTTCACGCAACAAGTCTTTAGCCTTTTCAACAAATACGCTATCGTCGGGTCCAGCAAATTTAATGTAATGTGCAATTTGGTCCATGGTCCAATTTGATGGAACCTTGCCGCCTAAGTTCATTTGAAAATGTTCTTCATTTACTACTGGTGCTACTTGATAGTCCGTGACTCTGGGGGGTTCGTCTTCCTTGTGCGTTCCTGGCAGCATTTGCATTCCCTCGGGGAGGGGAGAGTTTGGGGTTGGTGGAAGAAATCCGTTGAATTCTTCTGCCATTTTTGATCAAATTTTGCGATTACGAGATTGCGAACCTGTTAAGTATGGTATAGATATAAGTGTAGCAGTACACGTAGGTAAAGAGACTGCGCAGCAATAAAGAGAGTTCAACTGCTGGGAAAGTTTTGTCTCGTATAATATAATGCCTTATTATACGTGTAATACTTTTGAGTCAGGTCAAAAGGTATCGTAATACCTATATATGCTCATAAGAAGGAATAAACTATTTCGTTAAAGGAGTAAAATGAGTGACAAAAAAAAAGGGAGAAAAGAATCCCAAAAAATTAAAAGGTTAAAGGGTTTGGATGGTACAGCATTTATGAGGAGCTTCAAAAATTTACAAATTCTGAAAGAAGTTTTGAATTTGCTTTTTTTTTAAAAAAGGAATTTATAAAAAAATAAATTAAAAAAGATAAAATAAAAAAAATATTTTTTAAAAATAATTTAAAAAAAAATATATATTTTTTTAAGAATATATAAAAACATTAAAAAAATGGATTGTAAAAAAAAAAAAAAAGCTGGTTAGCTAGCTAAAATTCTGTGCAAAAAAAAAGGGAGTAGAATTAATCTGTACATGCAGCAACAATACAACAAGCCATATTAATATTTCTTTCTCACAACTTAAGAGAATTCCATAAGGTATAACTACATGGTTGACTGCATTTTTCATATACAATAGTTTTCTTTATACGAATAAATAAGTACAGAAAAAAAAGAAAAAAAATACACCATGTTTTTTCTGGCTAAATAATACCTACAAAAAAGTTGTTATTATTTATCGCTGATAGAAGTAAGCTTGAACATGTAACACTTCATTTTGGTGTATACTTTTTTTTTTTTTTTAAGCATGCTAAAAGCGAAATATTAGCTTGGAGGGTAAATATTCACGCTTCCCGAATTTGCTAACGTTTTACATGTAAACGCATTTGGTTTTACGCATATACGGATTTATACCCCTTCATATGCATATACGCCCATATATATGCAGCATTTCGTGAACATGCATTTTTGCAGAAAGGTAAGGAGACGCAGCATGTTACGCGGTACGCGACAATCGTACAGCATTGTACTTAGCTTTTTGACCCCCCAAAGTAAAAAAAAAAATAAAATAAAGCTCACAAAAAATAAGAGAAAAGCGAAAAAGCTAAAAGCAAAAGAGGTGTTTTTTTTTTCAAATTAATTCTCTCGCAAAAATGATTGCATTAAACAAAGAGAGGGAAGAATGCCAAATGAGCCACTTAAGCGATTGCATATGGAGCGCAGCATTCTGTATTTTTTAACACGACGAGCTGATGCATTTGATATAAATTTGAGCTATTATAAAAAACACGTGAAGGGGGGCAATCCTTCGCTTTTATTTTATCAATTATGTAGGTAGCAACTTTGCATATGGGCGCAAAGGTAAAAATAGCCGAACAAGGCTATTTTTTGCACGTCTCTTAGCAGCTGCAACGTATATCATCATATATGTATTTTTATTTTTGTCCCCCTTTTTTTAAACTGCACAAAATTGCTCCAAGGTGATCTATTTCAATTCGCATTTTGAATAAAAAAAAATATATATATTATATCCGCATAATTCCCCCTTTACATGATAAAAAGGCACTTGGCGAATTTATGCCATTCTTTAAAATGTAGAAGCACAATTCAACTGCAAAGAGGCTTGAGTCGTTTCACTTTACTACGTAACTACATATATACATTGCAGACCGTGGGATAATCCAGACATGCTAAATTCCCGTTATGCTCATATTTTTTCAAAATCTCGTAGTGGTGAAAATAGAGCACTCTTACTTATACAGTTCTTTTAAAGCGCTACGCATTTACTCATTTGGCAATTTGCGGAAGTGGATAACACGCACAAATAGTTTTCCTTTTTTTTCCTTTTTTTACGTAATCACCCAGCTAAGGTGACATCATCTGTGGTCAATTTTGTCCACACGCAAAATGAAGTTTCGTAGCATGGAACTTTAAAACGTTCATGTGCGTCGCGTGGATTGGGTGAAGAGGAATTGTATTATTCATCACAAAGTGGGATAAATTACCCCCTTGCAGAATTATGCAACAAGGATCTTTTAAGAAGACATGCTTAATATAAGCGCTGGTTTATCTTCCCCCATCCAGGTGTTATTTAAACTGCCGCGTAGTCTACCATTACGGGCATTATAGCTCTCCGTCCATTGTGCATGTTCATCCGGAAAAGCGCGTTTTATAAAGACGTCGCAGCAGCTTTAAAATGCCTCAAATGTTTAGACAGCAGCTATAAGTTCAGCTGCGTTAAAGGGTAAGTGATAATTTGCGCTAGTTGCACACACAACCCGTTTTTTTAGAAAAAGTGTTACAAGAAAAAAAAAAAGAAAGAATATCTCTTCAGATAAAACTCTTCCCAATTTGAAAAGTCTTAAAATATACAATTTTTTTTTCCTGCATATGAACAGGAATTCGTGCGCGCCAGAAAAGGGGCCAACTTGTGTGCACGCGTGGGCAGATGATGCACAAACAGACGGACCCAAGCGGTGCACAAATTTATAATTTGAAAAGTAAACGTAAAAATAAATAACAAAATAAACAATTGTGGATGGGTCCACCGAATGGCGTGCTTGTGGGTAGGGCAAGAAAAAAAAAAAAAAAAAAGAAACAGTGTTTTTAGAGGCATACTCGGAAAGGGGCGTGGCAAAAGGGGGGCTGCAAAAGGGAGGCTACAAGATGGAGGCTACAAGATGGAGGCTACAAGATGGAGGCTGCAAAAGGGAAGCTGCAAAACAGGCGACCGCCCCCACCCCCCCTGTGCGCTGCCCTGCGAGGAAGGCACAACTCGAAAGCTACACATCTGCACCACTTTAAAACAGCAAAGTCTGGGCCGCTCTCCTCTTCAGCAGATTATCAGTCTGCTCGCGATGGAGCTCAAACAACTCATTCAGTGAGACGAACTTTTCGACACTCAACAAATTATCCTTCACGTATTTGCCATTAATCTTTTTAACGATAATTTTGTCGTGAACCAGACTTAGAACAACTTCCGTTCTCCCGAATGTGTAGACACCTCTTCGGCTTTTCTTCCAGCCTATTTGGCTATTATGCGTATTGTGCCAATCCTTCAGTTTTTTATCGATAGGGTCAGAACTGTTGGTGACATAACACTTTTTGGGCTTCCCTAAACGTATATTTACATACGTTTTGGGATTTCTAAAACAGGTGGATGGTTCAAGGTTCTTCAAGGGAGTGTCATTGTGTTCTTTTTTTTTAGCTAGCAGGGTTCTTTTCGATGGGGATGGAGAATCAGAAGCCTTCTTCACCTGTCTCTTGAGCCCGTCAGGTGAGTTATGATTATCTTCCCCGTGATCGCTTTGTCTATGTCCACTTCGTCCATTTTCTTCCCTCCTCTCCAATGCACTAATTTTGTCCGACCGATTATTCACTGCGCTGTTAACGCTCCTTCCTTTATAAACCGCCTTTTTATTCACTCTGTCGTGATGGTTCTCGCTTAATTGTGAGTGATGACCATGTTGGTGATAACCGTGTTCGTGATAACCGTGTTCGTGATAACCGTGTTCGTGATAACCATGTTCGCGATCACCACGTGCGTCGCTGACCCCCCCTTCGTTGGCCTTCCCGTAAGGCGTGAAATTGTTGGCATCATATGATTCATTAAAAAAGGAGTCGTCGTTATTATTTTCCGCGTCGTGCTCCCCGGCAAATTCGTCTCTCACGTCTTCGTTTCTTCCAAAGCTGAAATCGCTCTCTATGTCGTTCTGTCCATTCCTGGCGCTGCCATTATCTCCGCAGTTGTAGCGGCTCCCCCCGCTGGCATTCCCATCATCACTGTTCGACGACATGGAGGAGGAAATAATTTTTTGATAATCGGGGGTAGAGTTAACAATACCTTGAGACGAACTGTCTAGTAATAACTTCAACTGCTTTGCCTCTCTCTCTAAAAGGTCCTTGTTCTTATTAGGCACAACCGTGACTGTCAAGCTTTTAGGTTTGTCCTCAGGGATTAGGTAAGACGGCAGTCCATAGAGGTTTTTTCTTTCACTGTTTAATTGCAGGGGCAAAAAGTTGTTGGTGGGTTGCTGCATCTGTTTGGGCAAAAACTTGGGAGGCTGGAAAAAGGGGGATGTCGATCCAAGGGGGAATGGATTATTTCCTAGAGGGTCCTTTACGGCGTCCTTGTTTTTGCTTAGTGGCTGAATGTATGTGCCTATGATTTGGGGCAGCCCTAGTTCATACAGGTGTTTTACGTTTTTGTTCTCTGGTCCCGGCTGTTGAGGGTGCAGCGGCTGTCCCGAGTGGTGCGGTTGCCACTGCTGCTGTTGCGGCTGCTGCGAGAGGGGGTGCAGCTCGGCGCCCTTGGCCCTTCTACCATTCCTCAGCATTGAACTCGTCTGCTGGCATAGGCTTTCCAAATTTAAGGATGGCTTCACGGGCTTGGGTAGGATGTGCTGAATGTTCTTGTTCAGGTCCAGCATTTCCAAGTGGCTAGCATCTAAATATTCATACCTGTTATTTTTTACTCCTTCATTTGGCTGCTCCATTTTTCTTTGGTTATTTAGGCTAGCTTCATATCCCTCCTTTTCATCATTCGCTTTTCCTACTAGGGCAGCAGGACCTTTTGGGAACATGAAGTGGCCGCCGGGGAAGTTCACTGGATGCACGGCCCTCATAGTAGAGTGAGTTTTGTTTCCTTTTTTTCTTGGGTGGTTTGAATGTCAGCTTTGTTGGGGTTGCTTCTCATTCGAGTACACCTTAGCGGGTTGTTTTTTTTGAAAGTAGTGACAGTTATGTGTGCGTCTATCTATCTCTATGTAGGAAAGTAGATGCATACGTGTGTGTGGACGCCTGCAACGTTATGTGAGCATAATGCTGCGCTTCCCTTTTTGCGACAGGGGTTTAGTCCGAAGAACATTTCCGTCCTGGTGAAATTCTTCCGGTGCACTGCTACGCTATCGTTCAACAATACGAATATTCAACACTGTAATCGTTTGCAAAGTTAATGTGTACTCGTTTTTGTTTTCATTTAATTAAATTATTCCGCAGAGTGTAATTCAAAAGAGGCCTCCAATAAACAAACTTATGGGGCAGCTTCAAAATAAAAATAAAAAGGGAAAGAATGCAGGTTGCTTGTGTGTACACTATGCGGGGAAGAGGAACAAAAACAAAAATTCACAGAAAAGAAATGCACTACGATCACGCGTTTGTGCAAAACAAATGGCAATACGCTGTTGTGCAGATCATACCCTGCAGAATGCTCCAGAGCCTACATAAAACAAAAAGAACCATTCGAATTAATCTTAAAAATATTTTTTGAAGATTTATTTTTTAAATCACGTTAAAGGGACGAAAAATGCCTACGTGTCTGTGAACGTATCTGTGCACACTGCTGTGCACGTTGCTGCTACTGCCGAAGGCAAATATTGTAGGAATTTTAGTTCCACTTTATGTGTAAAAAAAGAAGAAAAAAAAAAAAGCAACAAACGTAAGTGCATATTGTAGAAATATTTTGCATCTTCAAAAATTGCACACACAATTTTGTAAAAAAAAAAAAAGAAAAAAAAAAAAAAAGAATAAGCTAACTGCATATAAAGAAAAGAAAAACATTGTAGGCTTTTTTTTAGAACATTTTCACAGTTTAAGCTTTCACGCCTTAAAATTGGAACCTCATTTTCCAGTTTTCAATCGTACTCGTGTACAACATGCATATGTGCGCTCGCATATGTATTCCGCTTGTTTCCCATTTTTCCAAAAGACACGAGGAGAACGTTGATGTTGCGCACACCACGTGGGATTGTTGTTGACATGTGTAGGAAAAAATTCTGCGATGGTAGTTTTTTTTTTTTTTTTTAACATGAAAATAGCTGTTTTGTTGCTAACATCAAAATGGCTGTTTTTTTGCTAACATAAAAATGGCTGTTTTGTTGCTAACATAAAAATGGCTGTTTTTTTGCCAGGATGGAAATAGATCTTTCCGTTCCTTTTTTCTTAAAAGACAACCGATTGAGTAACATTTTGGCTTCCTGCTGGCGCGGCGTGCCGTTTTACCTGCACGTGTCATATTTTTCATAAAAATGTCATGAAGGAGTCATGTAATTTTTGAAAAAAAAAAAAAGGCTTGCTCATATTGGCATATTTATGCGCACCCTGTCGGCGTGCTGGTCTGGCTAACTCTGTTGCAACTTTGAGAAGAGAAATTACCCATACGTTAGAATACGGACACAGTCACAACGCTAATGCGGTTTTATCAATTCAGTTTCGAAACGGATAAAAAGGAAGAGCAAACTGAGGCGAAGTTTTAAAAGTACAAAGTGAAAGGAAGAAGGGCGTTCAGAAAAGGGGTCATCCCTTTGTATACATTTTTGGTACTTCCTAACAAAATGGGTAAGTCTTTTCGCTCTTCTTAACTTTGAAACAAATCGGAGAAACAAATTATATTCGAAAATTACCCTCTTCGAGTCGTAAGTGTGCAGGGATGGTGAAAGATTTCCGAAAAATGTACTCCTCTTCTTTCTAACTACTGCTAGCAGTTGGAAGAATGCTGCAGTTATGCGGGGCGCTATGTGCACATTTGTTTTGCTTTTCTTTTCTTTCCTCTTGGTTCCCTTTTTTTCGTTTTTATTTTTTTCTCATTTCTACACGTTAACAAATGCGCTCGTGACGCTTTATGAAGAACATCAATCCGACGTTAGCATAGAGGGTGTGCCACACGGCTAGTGCTTATTCGCACATTTCTTTAATTTTTTCTTTGTGTATACATATATGTAATGTACCAGTGTAGCATTAACTGGATGCAGAAAAAATTTCTCGATCCGACGCATATAAATACATAACAGTTCGAACAAAATGGGAATTCCTGACCGTTGCCGAGAAAATGGTACTTCAATTTTTTGTAGCTATTTTAAGATTTAGAATGCCATGTTTTTTCTTTACGCTGCGCACGAAAAGGGTTTCCCCCGATGCAGGTGCAACTCTACTCCGGCTTTTCCTGACTTTTTAAAAATCGACTGTTTTCTTGTTAGAACGGTAGGAAGTGCACTTTTTCTGTTACTAAGTGTATATGCATATATATATATATGTATACATATATACATTTTAACGCCTGGGTGATTCGCAAGTGGAGGTATTCTATCGCATTTCCGGGCCAAGATTAACGGCGTAACACCTGCGCAGCCTTATGGCAGTTTTGCCCTCGCGCCTAGTGCTCATTATGTAGCATCAAGATGTACGCGCGCGAGAGAAAGTTGCCACATACCTGCGTGCATACCTATGTGGGTAGGTAGATACATGCGCATGCGGCGTACGTTGGTAGATACCTACATACATCGGTATTCTGACTTTCCCGCACATCTACCCCCTTGACCATAAGCAATGCGAAGTAACGATGGGCGGAATGCAAAAGGGACTCGGGCTCGCAAAAGAAAACAGCTCTGAAGAGTAACAACTCTGTGTACCTAGCACAATTCTGTGCACCAGTATTTACGACCCGGAGAGAGAAAAGGAGATTCTTCTTCCGTTCAGTGACCTTATGGGGAACATCCTGAATCGGTTTATTTTTAATAACCCCGTCGAGGGGTGCTACGAAAAATTCCCCTTGGAGTTTCTTTTTGTTGAAAGGCCGAGCGGGGACAGAATTGCGGCCCACTTCATCAATAGGTGCGTCGCAAATACGTATATACGCATGTATATATATAATACATACATACACATATACGTGTGTGCACGATTGGACAGTTCCTCTTGGCTACGGGGTGTCCTCTTTCGGCCCGTCGCCAAACGCACACCCTGTTAACAATTTGACGCCCCCTTTTTTCCCCTTAGGAAAGCCCCACTAACCATTTTGTTCTGCCATGGCAATGGTGAGAACATCTACATGCTGTATGATTACTTTTGCGAGGCGTCCAAAATATGGAATGTGAACGTTTTCTTGTACGATTACCCCGGTAGGCCCAAAAGACGGAGTGGGAGATATGCGTGGAAGCGCGAACCTTTGATCTGCGCCGCGCACGTGTTTTTGCCATCACTGCTTCCATGATTCGCTTTTTTGGTATTTTTCGTATTTTTCGTATTTTTCGCATTTTTTGTATTTTTCGTATTTTCCGCATTTTTCGCATTTTTCCCCATTTTGATACCTCCTTTTACCTTTTTATGCTCCTTCCCACCTTAACTGTTCATATTTTTTCCTGTTTCACAAAATGGAACGCGCGCAAACAAAAAAAAAAAGGATACGGAGAGAGCACCGGAACGCCCAACGAAAAGAGTATGTACCAAAGTGGAAGAGCAGTGTATGAGTAAGTCCTATTTTTTTATTTTTCTAAAATGCCTCGACGTGTACTCATGGTTGCCGCAGCGCTTCATTAGTACCGCTTCATTCACACCGCTTCATTCACACCGCTTCATTCACACCGCTTCATTCACACCGCTTCATTAGCACCGCCTCATTCACACCGCCTTTCGTTTCACTTTTCCGGCAGCTACATGGTGAACGAGCTAAAGATAAAGGCAGAGAGCATTGTGCTGTACGGGAAGTCCATAGGTTTGCAATATGAGAAAGCACGAATGATGGCACCGCGTCTGTCACTGTGCCTGTCACGCTGCAGATGGGGATGACAAAACGGAGCAAATCGCACGTGCAAACTTGGAGTGTTTTTTTTTTTTATTATTCCCCTTTTAGGTTCCTGTGCTGCGATCGACATAGCCATCGAGAGGAAGGTAAAGGGCATAATTCTGCAGAGCGCCCTAATGTCCCTCCTAAACATTTGCTTTAAAACGCGGTTTATCCTGCCGTTCGATTCTTTCTGCAACATAAAGAAGGTATATCCCCCCACCCCCGGCGCTGCTACGAGTGGCTCCAAGTGTGCCGCGTCCCACGGGAAGGACGTGCACACATACGCATGTATATATATATGTGCACATATACATATATATATATATACATGTGGTTGTACATGCCGAAGGCGCCAAAACACCAAACCGATGTCTTTTTTACCTCCCCCAGATCGCCATGGTTCCCTGCTTCGCCTTCTTCATCCATGGCACTGACGACAAGATAGTCCCCTTTTATCACGGACTGGTAAAAACGGAACGGAGAAAAAAGGGGAAAAATCGCGCAAATTGTTGCAGTGTATCATGTGATACGTGTGCTTCCTCCTTGTAACAAAGCTGGGTGTATCGACTCGCTTGTGTCGGCAAAATTGTGCACGTCGTTTTGTCCCACGCGTGAAAGTCGCCACGATTAACTCGCTTCACTCATTCGCGCATTTGCGGGGATGCTTATTTTGCCCCTTTCCACGTCCCAGAAAAGCGTAACACGCAATTTTTTCATTCCATTTGATTTGCTTTCATTTCATTTTTTTTTTTTTTTTTTCTTTTTCCCCACTTTCCCACCCGAAGAGCCTCTATGAAAAGTGCAGACTGAAAGTGCATCCCTACTGGGTTGTCGGCGCCAAGCACAATGACATCGAGCTGATTGAGAACAAGAAGTTCAACGAGGGAATCAAATCTTTTTTGAAGTTTCTGCGTAATGTGTAGCCGTCCCTGAGCATATATATACCCCTTCGCTTTATCTCGCCTTTCACTTCACTCCATTTTCTTGAAAGCGCAGCTTCGTCGCGGTGCCCATATAATTCCCACGGACCCGCGATGATGTCACAACGCGGTGGCCCCTACTCATTTCAAAACTCTACATATTTGCAAGTGTGTATATAAATGGCGGACTCCTCCTGGACGTGCGCCACAAACCCAACTATAGCACACCTGTTGCGCAAATGAAAAATAAAATAAAAGCGCACAGCTTTTTGTGTCATGGATGAAGATTAAACATGTAGGTACCCACCTACGTCGTACGCTGAAAAGGTGCGGTTTTCACGTTTGAAATGTATGCCGGAGGGGGGAGTCGCACATATCCGTCCTCCGTTTAGGTCATCCTTGCTCGTTTGGCATTTTTTACATTAACAACAAACCTTTGTATGTGCAAGGGCATTGTTACAGGGGAGGTACACAAAAAAAAAAAAAAAAAGGCGACAAGGCAAAAAGGTCGCTTTTGCCATTCCTAAACAAACGTGCGCAGAAAAAATTAAGTGATGTTTTTGCTGTGGGATGGTCCTACGCAAGGAGAGAGGAATTGATGTTGACCTTTATCGGAAGGCAGTCACAATTCGTCACATGGTGTTCCTTCTGGTGATGTCATATATATTGCGTTAAGTACATTTTGTGCAGAGCATTCTGTGAAGCGCATTCTGTGAAGGGCATTTTTTGAAGAACATTTTCTGGAACGCACTTGCGGAGTACATTTTGCCGCTAATTTTTTTTTTCATTTACCGCCGCCCAGCTTGCCCGCGCTACCTCTCTTCGCTTAGCGCGTGAAGTCCTGCGCTGTAATTTTTTTTTAATCGATGCATTTGTATATACGCTTTACAATGCAATGCGAAACAATGGCATAAGCACTGCCCAGTCGTACATCCAGAGGAACCAATCCAATCGCTCAGGTGAATGGCAAAGCACAGTGTTTACATACGAAATGTATGACCATTTGATAAATATATTTTTGGATGGCCGCAACTTGTTCCTCTGTAAATGTTTTCATTTCGCTCCAATTTGCTTCTCTTCATTCCTTTCCGTTTTGCCTCTCCTTCATTTCTTTCCGATTTGCCTCTCCTCCTCATTGCTTTTCCTTTTGCCTCTCCTCCTCATTGCTTTTCCTTTTGCCTCTCCTCCTCATTGCTTTTCCTTTTGCCTCTCCTCCTCATTGCTTTTCCTTTTGCTCCTCCTCAGTGCTTTCCCTTTTGCCTCTCCTCAGTTCATCTCGCCTTCTTTTTTTTCAACTTAGTTTATTTTTTCCACCCGCCGCATATAAATGAACAGAGGGAAAATAGCTCTGCTTTGAAAAAAAGGTGGAGGCTTTTTTTTCTTGCAAAATCAACTTCGCGTCAATGCATATTTAAAAGCGAATCAGTTGATCGCAGGTGGAGCGCGCCAACTGCTTTTCCGCTCTCTTTATTTACGCGTATACATTACGGGCATGTAACCCCCCGGCGCAGGTACACATTTTCATCGCACATATGCGGCGAACATGGTTATGTACTCCCCACGTGCCGCGTTTATATAAGGCATGGAAAAGTACGCATACGACACGTGCAGAAGTACACATGTGTCAGGTATGCACATAATATAGTACGTACGTACACAAGACGTACGCACGCACATGCGCAGCTGCAACTGCCCGCGCGCCTTACATGGTTAAAATAAATCGCCCAGTGCTGTGGCATGTACATACCATTTCGCATTGCACCTAATGAGCTGTGCCATTTTTATAACCGCAAAAATTGAAGAGAGAGAAAAAAAAAATAAAATAAAATAAAAAAAAAAAACACACGTTCATCGCTCCATTTCGCAAAAAGTTGAAGCAATTCAAAATAACCAACGAACCAACCGTTAAAAGGAGGCCGATTCACGTGTACCGAACTGTCAAGCCGATCGTAAAGAAAACGAGAGACGCGTTGACGTAAACGCAAACACAAAGGGAAAGCATTCCTGAAGTTTAACTACACTGAAGAGTAAAAAGTAAATAAAGAATATTCGCCCCCTTCATCGCGTGGCACATGTCCCGACGTGCAGTTTGTTTGACTCAAATGTGTACGCACATATGTGTACCATTTGGCGGCTGGCTCGTCGAAGTGGAAAAGCACATAACTGTTTTGTCCCAGCGCTCTGCGAACGTATATGTGTATTGAACTGTGTGTAGGGAGATTTGCCCCAAACGGATTTATAAAGGTATGCAACAGAGCGCGCGAATGGGTGTGTACATGTGCATATGCATACGTATGCGCTTACAGAGGAGTTTACAGCTGTACATGTGTCTACGTATTTTTTTTTTTTCTTGGCGCACCTAGCCATTTTTGATTACTTAGCTTCTGAATTCCCACGACTGGAAACTGGTTTAACGCTCCACACGTAACAATGAAGAAGGACATGATTACGGAGATCTTGACATATGAACAGGACGACAGGGGATACGTACTGGATGTCCTAAAGGACAAAACGTTTAAAGCCATTTTGAGCAAAAATGAAAATAAAATATGCTTCGATTGTGGTAACAAAAATCCCAAATGGCTGTCTTTGACGTATGCCATATTTATTTGCCTGAACTGTTCAGGTAAACATAGACAATTGGGGACGCACATATCATTTGTGCGATCAACAGGAATGGATAAGTTTACAGCAAAGCAGTTGGTTAGGATGTATCTGGGAGGAAATTTAAAGGCAAGCGAATTTTTAAAAATGAACAATCACAGTAGCATGGTGGATTATTCATCTCATGCGTGTTTGAAATATAAAATGTATTTGGACGGCCAGTTGGAGGAGGCATTGTTAACGCATGGCAGTGAAGAAAAACACCGCAATGATGGGGCGGATCCGCGTGGCGGCGATGTCAGCCAGATGAATAGCTTAACGGGCGCAAAGCCTCTAATCGATTTGGTTATCGACGACGCGAGGAAGATAGAGGGTCCAAATGAGCTCCCTGGGGGGGAAGCGAATGAGACTGGCGACGCCTTTCCGAGTCGCGGTCAGGTCAGCCGCCATATCAGCGGTGGTACATCCAGCGGAAATCTCGCACCGACACACCTGATCGAAGAAAAAATGATATACAACAACTGCAACAAAAATTTCAAGGCCAAAAAAATCGACATCAACTTTGATGACACGATATTTGAGCGCAGCGGGAAGGGGAATGCAAGGGACGGGAGGAGCGCGCACCCCGGTGTTAGCAACGAGGCGTTTAGCTTGCATGGAGGAAGTGGCGCTGCTAGTTATGGTGGTGTGAAAGATGTCGGCAATGACGAGAGCGGAGTGGGAGGAGGATATGACATGAGGTGTCCCGCAGGAGTGAAGTTATCTTACGCAGGCGGTCGTGCCATCGCAGGAAATAACTCCATGGGCAGTAGTAGCATTAACGGCAACAGTCGTTTTAATCCAACAAGTGATTCCAAGTTAAACAAATTTAAAGACTGCAAGAGCATCCGTTCGGATCAGTACTTCTATGATGAGAGGCACCAAAATGATGACGACGTGGTGCCAAATGTACATATAACGAATAGCATTTCGTCTGATCAATATTTTAATAGAAATGTTAATAACAGGAAAGCGGGGTGGAATTTGGATGAACAGACGATTCAGAATTTGCAGGGCCTCAAGGTGACTGCACGGGAGGGCCTATCGAATATCGTTGCGGCCGGAAATGAGGTGTTTCTCAAGGCCAAGGAGTGGTTCAACAATTAGGACCCATGCTGGTTGCCCGGGCGAGGAGAGGCGTGGACAAAAGGGGTACAATCCAGACAACGTTGGTACGTGCCGTACGAACCGCTAATTGCGTACCCCCTGCCTGTGTGTGATTTTTTTTAAATTTAATTTTTAAGGCAACGGGGGGTGTGAGAGCGAGGGCACCTGCAGGAACGCGCCCCTGTCGCAGTGACCATTTCGGTGCTCATTTCGCCGTCCATTTTGGTGCCCCCTCGTATGCTCTTTTTTTTTGTACAACCCCGAACCGGCGCTGGGTGTGGCACGACGTGCCCGCCTTGGTTCCTTTTTTGTGTGCTTCCTTAGCATAAGATAAAGCATTAGCTGAACTTTGACTGCTCTGTTAGTTCAGTTTTGACCGCTCCTTTAGCTCAGTTTCTACTGCTCCTTTAAAAGCCGATTTCAACTGCGTCTTTAGAAGCGCACCATGTGGGCGCCTCCCCTTCAAAATGGGAAAAAAAAAAAAAAAAAAAAAGAAAAAAATAATGAAAAAAAGACAACATAACGTAACGTAACGCAGCGCAACGCGGCGAAGCCAAGTTAAAACAAAAAAACAAAAGGGAGGATCCCCTATTTGTCCTTGCGGGGTAAAACTCTCTGGGCAGAGAAGTTTGCGCTGTGATTCCCCCCTCTTACAATTCCCCGCACTCGACGATATTAATCGGAATTTTTGGCTTATAAATATAGGGCGTAACAGAAACGTTTTCAATTTTTTTGAGCAAAACTAAAGAGTCACTGTCTATGATTCTTCCAAAAACGACATTCTTCCCATCAAGCCATTCACATTTCTTCGTCGTAATAAAAAACTGACACCCATTTGTATTCGGTCCACTATTAGCCATACTGAGTAGTCCTTCTTTATCATGTTTGACATCAAAATTCTCGTCTGCAAAATTTTCTCCATAAATACTTAAGCTTCCACTTCCATTGTAGTTCACAAAATCTCCCCCCTGAATCATGAACTCTTTTATGACTCTGTGAAATGTCGTATTTTTGTATCCCACTGGGAGGTTATTTACTTTGTATTCCCCTGTGCAGAATTGTCTAAAATTTTCGCTAGTCTTTGGGACAATGTTGTGGAAGAGCTCGAATTTGAATTTTCCCAAAAAATGGTTCCCCAGATTTATGTCCATAAATACCACTGGGTTGGATGCGTTCGTTAGTAGGTTGGATAAGTAATACGGGATGATTGTGTTTTCGACATCTTCGATGATTAATTGGTCCACTTTTTTCCCTTTGCTGTGTTTGTTTGGCGATCGCTCATTTTGGTCTTCCTCCCCTTTGGGGGCACCTGCGTTTGGGCCCTCCCGGTTGGGGCTTTCCCCTTTTTGGCGATCCCCATGTGGGCTCGGCCCAATCGGGTCATCTCCTCTGCCTTTCATAATCTTATCCGTTGCGAAGGCGTGTCGCAAAGGGTGGAAATTTGGCACGACGAACAATTTGGGGGGGGGGCCTTCTTCTCTTGCATTTCCGCTTGGATGCTGCGGGGGGAGGAGCGTCTCAACAGCGGATCAAAAAAACAAAAAAAAAAAGTTAAAAAAAGGGAAAAAAATACATATACTTGCATATATACATATATATTTTTTTTTTCCTTGGGGAGCATTCTTCCTGTCGGTTGCGGCGGGTGGGGGCCCATTGCTTGGCAGGAATTTTCACGCGCCACATGCGAATGGCAAAAGTCAACTCTGCTTTTCTCTGGCGTTATTTTTTTCTCACTTATCACTGTGCTGTTTCCACTTTTGTTTTCATTTTGCTTTGCCTATCGAATTTTCCTCCATTTGGTTGTCTCCCCGGTTATAATATCTGCTTCCTTCCTTTTTGCGCGCCCACAGCTGGCATTCCCCAATTGGCCGTGGCAACGCCCCGGTTCCGCTGCGGCAACGCCGCGCCCTACAATTGGTGTGCGGCTCAAGTGAAAGGTGCACAAAATGAGGTGAATGTATTTCCACCTTTTCGTTTGCCACTTGCGTGTATTCCCCTTAGTACTCTTTGCTGTTCCTTCAAAATATGGTGAGGTTTTTCCTCCCCCCCCGGGAAGCCTCAAAAAGTAAAATGCCGCTTAGTAACGATCCCTGTCCCAACGCTGCGACTGTCGCTGTGATTGTTGTCGCGATTGCCGTTACTACAGTGTGCTTAACCAATCACCACAGGGGGGAAGAACGCAGAACAGGGCAATCGCGCAGGGTGCACAAGACGGTCTTTGCGTGCGTCCATGGCGTGCACCATTTTTTTTTCCACAATAGTAGTGGTCCCCTCTCACGAGACGCGACATGTGGAGGGCGGCATAGGAACGTTCGTGCAGCAATGATTTTTTTTCTTCCGCGTCCATTCCTTTCTTCCTTTCTTCTTTTTTTTTTTTTTTGTTCTTTTTCTGTTATTTTTTTGTTTTTTTTTTCTTATTTTTTCCGCTGTTTTTCCCTGTTTTTTTCCTTTTTTTGCTTCCTTGGCGAAGCTTGTGAATTTTTCCCTGGAGAAAGTCTTAAGCGATTTTTCAGCGGAGTACTTTGTCCCAACAGGAGGGAGCGAAGTTTCCCACTTGCACGAGTGGACGGAGCTGGGGCTGGTGTCCTTCGCCAGGGGGTGCCCACTTGTTCGTTGTTTTTGTATGCACGTTGTTTGTACGTTTTGTATACCTTTTTTTGTGTGCCCACTTTGTACCCCTTTTTTGTGCCCCTTTTTTGTGCCCCCCAAAAGATGAATCAGAGGAATGACGGGTCGTAGCCCCCGCCATCACCACGCGCAGCGCGAGGAAGAGGAGGCGGGGCCAAGAGAGGAGAATGTCTACTGGCAGCAGGTCAATTTAGGTCCCAAAATTTCCATCACCGAGTTGGATCCATGGGAGGAGGAGGAGGACGACGAAGAAGAAGAAGAGGAGGAGGAAGAAGGAGAAGAAAAAGAAGAAGAACAACAAGTTTGGTCCATGGAAGGTGGGCACACTGATGGGGAATGGACATGGAACTTGGATGAGACAAACATGAGAATGGTGAACGGGGCGAAGCCGCTTAGCTCAATGGGGTGGAAGAGAGACTCACTGAAGAAGACGGAGACCCCCTTTAGAAATGCCAAAAATAATGCGAAAAAAGAAGAAGCCGAAGTGGAAAGGAAGAAGACATGTGTGAGGGGAAAAAAAAACGGGTTTGTTACTTCGAATGGTACACTCCTAGTGGGCACTCGTCTGAACCCGCATCTGGACCCTCGTCTAGCCACCCGACACGGGGTGAAGAAGAAAAACCAATTAGGAAAAAACGCAGTGGAAGCCCCCATCGTGAGAGAAGCCACAAAACCCGGTACACATAACTGCAAGGGACCCCTCCTGAGAGAATTAAAAAGCGCTTGCAAAATGGTAGCCATGAAAGGATGCAAAAAAACGATAAAATCGCAGATCAGAGTGAAAGATTGCGTGAAGAATACAAAAAATGGCAAATCATCCTTCGGGAAAAAAACCGCCAGTAGAGTGGGAACTCCTCACCCCGTCCATTGTCTTCCTCCAATCGGTGAGACAAAATGGAAGAAACGAGAACAGGGGTCTCTCACGAGAAGTAGTGTGCACAGGAGGACTCCCACAGGGAGAGTGAAAAGTGTCCCCAAGGGGAAACCTCAAAGTGGGAGAAGTGTGAAAGGCGCTAGGAATAAGCAGATAGAGACTACCAAAATTAAACACGTGGTGAAGAAGCCACCGAGGGGGGTGAACTACGTAGCGGGGAAGGGACAACAGAGGGGGGGAATTGTCCACAGGGGAGAAGTCATCCAAAGGGGGGAAGCCCTCCAAAGGATGGGGAGTGCCAATCTTAGAAGAAACATTACGGGGAACGAGAAGATGCACTTAAGGAAGAGAAGCTGTATGAAGAAGGGCCCGGGGGGGAACGGCCCGCTCCCTGGGGGAGCCTGTTGCATAAGGATGGGGAACAGGAGAGGGGGCGAGGTCTCCTCCAACTGTCCCAGAAGGGGGAAAGGGAGAGTGAAACAAAGAGGCAGGGAAAACGTTAAAGAGGACGTTAAAGAAGACGAGAAGGCAAACGAGAAAGAAAACCCTCCCAAAGCAAAGTCGAACGGCGAGAAGGGTAAACGGGAAAACAACTCTACCGCCACCGTCAGAAGCCGCATAGACGAAAAGCGCCAGGAACTTCTCTGCAGCTTTAGACGAAGACTCTGGGGGGGGAGCGGCACAGGGGGGTTGGTTCCAAGAGAGCTTGATCGCAACATGAGATGCGGCGTTATTAGCACGCACGTCTACACTTATGTGGGTAGCCAATCGGGGGAGTACAGCGGGGATGCACCTGAATTTGCCGCTGAAGGTACAGCTGAAGAGGCGGAGGAAGGTGAGGAGAAGGACGAGGGCTCGCTGCTCCATCCACCCCTTCGAAGCAGCACCTGCGAAGTGAGCGCACTATGTGCCTATGACCACGTTACGCACTACAGACAGGGAAGAGAAAGGAGCGATTTAAAGATCAACACGTGGAGCAGTGATGATATGATCATGGAATCGGTCCCATCTTCATCTGGTAGTTCCATTCAGGGGAGCAAGTCCATCACATGGATCGCCTCTCGAGGGAATGAACCCATGGTCAGCGGAAAGAGAAGGGCACACAGCTTGAATGGAAGACAGGAAAGTAGAGCCGTGAACCCACTCATACTTACGAACGATCTACGAATTAAAGTATGTTACAGTGAAAACTACGTCGATTTAAGGGGGATGGGAGGGCTTCCCCTCAATGAGAGGGTTTCTCCTAGTGAAGTGGAAGAAGAATCGTCTAGACGAGTGACACGGAAGGTGCCCCAACACGTGGCCGAATCGAAGCCACACATAAATAATTCAGCACTGTCCTGCCATAGCGACGACCGCCTCGTAAACATAAGTGATGACCTGTTCCTCATTTCGCAAGACTCGGAAAAGATGAAATTAAATGGCTTTCTGGAGAGAATCAATTCGAAGGAGCCTTTCGACGCAGAGGAGGAATGCACCGCAAATACCTGGAAGGGACACACGACAGAGTGTCACCCGACAGAGTGCCATACGAGAGAGTGCCATACGAGAGAGTGCCACACGACAGAGTGCCACTCATGTATGGAAGGTAACCTGCTATGCACTTCTCATTTTGTAGATGCAGATAATGGGAAGGGAACTCCTCCTCCGATAAAAGAGATGGAGAAAGATATTTATCCTGTAAGAAATCTGGTTGCTGATGGGGAGGGGGCACATGGATTAGAAGGCGATGACTGTGTTGAAATTCAACGTGCAAATGAGCAGTCAACTGGGTGGTCCACCCCCAAGTTGAGAAAACACCAAATGGGGAGCACCTCACAGAAAGGCAGCGCAACTATCTGGAAGGGGATTGACTTCACCGTGGGGGCGGAGACACCCAAAAGGGACACAAACACACGGAGACATAGAAACCAACTTGGCACTGTTGGCTCTGTTGGCACTGTTGGCAGTGGCATTAAAATAAGAAGAAGCCATTCCTTGCGGAGAAGCGGATATAGTGTTGAAAAATATAGAAGGAGCCATCATGGGGGGGAGAGGCAGACGGGGAGGAAGGCAAAGGACCCAGAGACAAATGGCCCTGAGACAAATAACGCACAGACAAATGCCCCCCACACAAGCGATCATACGGAAAGCTTCATGGAATCCTTTTTACTCCACGAGGAGAGGAATCTCTCTCTACACCCTTTTACGCTCGACAATGGAAGCAGGTCCACGTCAGCATCCCTTTGGGAGTGCCCCAGGAGAAAGTTCGTCCAAAGTGCCGACTCTAATTGTTTACTAAGCGAGGATAGCCATTTGGACAACATGATGCAGGTGAGGGAAAAAATCAGTCAGGTGTCAGTAGTACCCCGCGTTGAACCGAAAGGGAGGATAAACAATAAGTATCATAGAAAGAGCAGCCGTGGAAGAAACCCAAATGAAGCCTTGCTCAAATTGGCAGACATCTCTCAAATGAAAGGAACAACATCAGGGAAGTTAAAAGGAAGCTTCCAAATGAACCATCCTTGTGGTGGAATGTCCACAGACGAGGAGGAAACTCGTCATCGAGTTAGCAATGGCGAGAAAAGAGACACCATCCGTTTTGAACAACACTCTAAAGGGAGGAACAACTTCCCATTTGAAGCGGAGAGGAGAGGCAAGAGTGTCACAAAGGAAGGTAGCGGGGATCCGTCCCCACGTCAGCGTCTACACACAGAGGGTTCTATCAGTGGCGGCGCGGGTGTGAGGCACCCCACTCCAAAGAGGATTGCCCTAACCCCTAAACCGGATGCAGCCCAGAAGGGCAATGCAGAGGAGAGTACGCGAAGGGGGAAGCAAGAGAGAAAAAAAAAAAAAAAAAAAAAAAGAAAAAGCAGAAGGAAAAGAAAAACAAGAAGAAAAAACAAAAGAAGAGGAAAAAATCAAGATAGTAAAAAAGAAAACCATTCCAGGACAGACGAAACGTAGCCAATCAGGGAAACCACCTCAACATTGCCAGGAAATCGTTTCCACCAAAAATCAGGGGAAGGAGAACACACACCCATTAGACCCTTCCACAGTACAAACAAACGACACGAGCAGAAAGGTGACTCATCATGTAGGTAATAACACCGAAGAGGCAGGATGTCAGCGTGAAAGAGAAAATGCGGAGGGAAGAGGCGCACCGAGAGGGAGTGATCCCCCATCAAAGAGCTCTTCCTCCTTAGTCAATCAAAACCGTGAATCAACGCGGATTGAGAAAGACAAGAAAAAAAAGGTGAAAAGAAATAGTGGCCAAATATACCATGGAAAGGGGAAGATAAAAGATGAGGAGAGAGAAAAAAAAGTCCCTTCCTACGCTGTGTTGCAAATGCTGATTAGGAAGAAAACAAAAAAGGGGCTTATAAACACCGATAGGGGGAGAAAAACTTGGAACAGGTTAACGTGCAATCGGTGCAAGTGCGACGTGGTGGGGAACGTGACACACGAATGTGTGTTTTTTCCGGAAAGAAGGAATGCCAATTTGAAGGTCCAAAGCGAGTGCAGTTCCGCGCTTTGTGGAGCGGTGCCGGGGGGAAGAACCAAAAAAAAAGGGACCACCCAGAGGAAAGCAGCTAAACGGGTTAAAGGGGCTAAAGGGGTAAAACGCGTTTGCAGTGCGAAAAGAGGTGTCCTGCGGAAGGTGGAGAAAGAATGGGGGGTCTGGATGAAAGACGAGGTCCTTGAAACACAAGACTGCTTTGAAGATTCGGCTACGAGGGTCGAATGCCTGGAAGGTACCCCCAAGAGGGAGAAGCGGGTCAGGGATGCCAATGAAGCTAACAACGCCAATGAGGCTAACAACATCAATGAGGCTGACAACGCCAATGAAGCTAACAGCACCAGGAGAGCCATGCCAGACAATCAATGCAGGACGACCTCTCCCAGGGATAGCCATAGAGACGGTGGAGGAACACCCAAAACGGATTCAACACCTGGAGGAGAAGACCCCTCCGAGAGTCCCACCACGAGAGGGTTAGAAAAAATCCCCCCAAGGGAAATACACACAAGGGTGAGTACAGAGATGAGTAGAAAAAGGAATATAAAAAATGGAGACAAAAGAGTCCCGTGTGATGAAGCAATGAAGGATGGAAGGGAAGGAACAGCCATCTCAGTTCCCCCCCCTCGGAGTGCACTCCTCGAGGAAGGTATCCAAAGAAGTAACGTTCGTGATAGTAGCCGTTGTTTAGGGCAAGGAAGGCACGAGGTGTCTCTGCTGGAGGAGCTTATTCAGGAAGAAAGATGCCATGTCGAGGGGGAACAGAAGAGAAGCATAAAGGGGGTGTATGCGGAGTCGGGGGAATGGACAAAGGAACGAAGGGAGAGCACTAGCATAGGGATCGAACCCGAAACAGTACACACAGTGAAGAGCGAAAGGGGTGATCAAATGAAATGGGTGGAGGAGCGATCCAAATCGGAGGACCGATCCGAAGCAGACTCGCTCCGTGTGGACGATGTAGAGAAGTTTCACCAGACGCATTATGCGGACAAATTGGACTTCCCCTTAGGAGGGTTAAGCAGAAGTGGCGGCGGTAGCGGCGGTAGCAGTGGCAGTGTTCGACGTGGGAGGCGGAAGGGGGACTCGGACATGAAACAAACCACCGGGAGAGTGCCCAACGATTACGCTGATAGTGGAAGCGGCGAAGAAGGAAGAAGCCGACGAAAGGGAAACGACCCCAATTGGGGAAGATTTTCCTTCTCACTTAACTTGGAGAGGTACGTGGCAGATCATCGGATAAATCAGATCAATTTGGAAAGGAGCCTTTTTGGTGGGAAGCAGGAGGGGGAACACATATCGGAGTCTACATCGAAGTCTACATCGAAGTCTACATTGGGGTGCAATCCTCATGGGACTCAATGGGAGGGTGCATTAGGAAGTCCTCAAATGGGAGAGGTTCTTGCGGAAAACCCAGACACACGAACGATTGAGCAGAATGAAGGTAACGCCCCCCCTCAGAGGAGAAGACAGATTACGTGGAGCACACAAGAAACCGACACCAGAAATCTGAAGCCCATTTTTTTTAAATGTAACGAAAGAGAGGTGATGAATGTCAGGGAAAGAAAAAGTGTCACTAAGGAGGATGTGAAGAAAGACGTACCTCACTTTAATAGGAGAGAATGTGCATACCCAGATGACGAAGAAGGAGAAGATTGTTGGAGGAGTTCTCCATTAGACAAGGCCACCACCGATCAGGACGATTCCTCCTTACGCGTCAGTGAAGGAGGGATCGAACTTGGGTCAATCGTAGAGGATTTCTTCCTAAGCAAAATTAAAGGAAAAAAAAGAAAAAAAAAAAAAAAAGAAGAAAAAGAAGAGAAAGAAGAGAAAGAAAAAAAGGAAAGAAACTACCTCTTCAGAGCGGTCTCCCTGAATGACGTTTATGGGCGATTCTTTCCGCAGAGCAGACGATTTGATAGCTTTTCTCAGAAGGGAGATGATTGCAGAAAAAAACTTAACATTGGTGGTGGTAGTCCCTTTCCTCACTCGGTTGGAAGCAGTGCCAAGTGCGTTCCGAAGTGCATTCCCAAGGGCATTCCCAAGGGCATTCCACACCTGCTGAGCAGGACGAAGAGTTTGGTTTTTGGACGAGGAAGAAGTGACTGCGCTGGGGGGACACTCACTGAGGCAGTTGCTACTCCCAATAGAGGCAGAAGCGTCATCACCAGAGTGACACCCCATCCCGGCAAACTAGATGAAGGAAGCTTATTTAAAAAAAGAGAAACACCAAATGGTTCCTCTCGACCATCACTACTACTTCGTATGAGCGACGTAGCGGTGCGGCAAAGGAGAGTAAATGTTTTCAGGAGGACCAAAAGTTGTTCCTTACTTAAGGGGAATGCCTTGGAACGAGATTGTGCGTGGGAAGCGACGAGGGAGAAATCGGTTGGGAAAGCGGTAGGGATGTCGGTTGGGAATGGCCTTTTGACAGCTACCATTGCGGCTACCAGAACGCCAGTCGGAGAGTCCACCAACACCGGTACAGCTGTGATGCGCAGTCCCCTGACGTGCGGAAAGACCTTCAGGGAAAGCCACGCCATTAATAAGAGCCTCGAGAAAAGTGTGCAGACCCAGACGAGTGGCTGCTTGTGGAGCCCCTGTCTTCTGTTTGAGAGCGGCGTCAAGGAGTGACACTCGATGGACGCGTGCGAATGGGCTAAACGGACAAAGACTCAACTGGCACAAGGGGGCTACCTGGCTGGACCTGTGAGTTGCAATTCGCAAAGAGGGAAGGAGAGAACAACAAACCGTCTCCAAGATGTGCAACCTGCGCGCGATCTTATATACGTGGAGGAGTCTTTTTTTCGGCAGCCTTGCACAAGAAGGGGCTTTTCTTTCCGACTGATCTTAGTCGATATATGAGCCTCTGCGAAGCCTAAAATGGCTGATCCTCGGGGGCTGCCGTGCACAGTTTGGCTTCAGATGCATCTCACTTTGAGGTCTTCCAACCGGAGACGACTCGATATTTTTGCCCCTTCCAATTTGTGCCCCACTCAGTTTGTCCTCACTTAGTTTTTGCCCCCCTTAATTTGTGATTTTTTTTTTTTTTTCCCATTGACCAAATACTCAACAGCGTTCCGATGAGGGGGCCCTGCCAATCGTTTCCAAAAGAAAATGGAGAGTGTATGAAGCGCATCAAACGATAAGTCCTTTCACGCCACGGCCATGTAGGACTTAAAAAAGAGGAAGCCAGCCGAGCCCCTGATTTGGACGCATGCAAAGGGGTGATATATATAACTTCTAAATATTTCAATGCACTTACCCCGTTATTATATGCACTGCTTTGTGGACCCATTTGAAGGGTGAGGTTCTCTCGCGCAGGCGTTGTCGTAGTGGTTTGTTGTGTAGGTTTAGGGGACACATGGGCGAAGCGATCGCGGCGACAGTTGCTGTTGTGACGAGCGAGAAGGAGAGGCGCTCAGTGGTGACAGTTTTGGCCTACAACTGGGTTCTGAAATGATTCCTTTTGGCTACTCCTGTTTATTTATTTATTTTTATTTTATTATTTCATTTTCTTCTTTTCTTTTCTTCTTTTTTTTTCATCCTTTAAGCAAATTTTTTTGTCGGCGGGGCGGGTCTGACGAGAGCGTTCGTCCAGTGGCGTCGCTTCCCCAGTTGGCAGCTTCTTCTTTTTGACAGTTTGGCACGGAGGTTTGCGTCACGACAGTAGAAGCGCGGTTATGTACCCTGTGACGTGCACAGTTCGGATGCGCCACGAAGAGGCACGCTTCTATACATAAAGGGGCGTGGGAGGAAAAAAAGGAAAAAAACGAAAGGGCGGACGAAGGGGCAGACGGAAGGATAAACGAAAGGATACTTCTACCCCCCACCTCCGAGAGTGAACATATGACATATACGGATCATACGAACCGATCGGGAAAAATAGCAAAGTCAAAATAAAAGGAAAGAAAAAGAAAAAGAAAAAAAAAAGAAAAAAAACCATCGTCCACTCGGTCCACGGGTAGACCATTAGGAGAAACAACAATTCAAATTTGTGTCCTAAGTGATTGTCCGTTTAAGCAATGGTATGATGCGTAGCTGGAGGGGCGCTTCCCTCAAAAAAAAGAAAAAGAACACATCACAGCGCAGCACAGAATGGGTAAATATACAACCGAGTAGCCAAACGCAAGTGTCGCAATTCCACTTCACCAAATGTAGACGCCACCGCCACCTCCCCACGATCCTTCTGTTTCCCTTCTATCCACAGAACGAACCGAAGAATGGAGCCCCAAAGAGGATGAACAATTATCAGAAAAACAAGGAGAGGATCAAGAGGCTCAAGAGGATCAAGTTAAACGGGGCGAAGACACGCGAAACATGCCAAACGGGAGAAACATTCGAAACATGCCAAACCTCCTTAACCCGTGAGAAGGGCCCGTCTGCCCCGCGCGAGAGACTTCCCAATTTGAAAAAATATGCCCTGTGCATTGGGTATGTGGGCAGCAGGTACCACGGGTGCCAGGGGCAGGGGAAGGACTGCATGACCATCGAAAACGAGATCGAGAGGACGCTGATAAAGATGAACGCCGTGCGACGGGGCGTCTGCAGGAAGGATTTCAACTTCTGCCAGTCCCGCTCCGCGAGGACGGACCTGGGCGTCCACGCCCTGTACAACGTGTTTGTGTACCAGGTGGACTTGAGCTGTGGTGAAGCGGCCGCTTCAGTAGGTGTAGTACCGACAAAGGTGGAAGCGGCAAAGGTGGAAGCGGCAGACGTAGTAACGAATGGTGATGCGGCAGGTGCGGCCCCCAACGCAGACGCCACTACCCGAGAGATTGCCACCCAGAGCGCTACTACCCACAGTTCTACCACCAACGGCGCTACCACCGACAGGGCCACCACCGACAGGGCCACCACCGACAGCGCCGCCCTAGAGGAACGGAAAAAAAAGGAAGAAAAGTTTGTTCAGATGCTCAACGAGCACCTGCCGGAAGACATCCGCTGCTTTGATATGTACAGAGTGACGAAGAGCTTCGACGCGAGGAAGTTCTGCTCGTTCCGATTATACGAGTACCTCTTCCCCGTGTACGTTTTGAGTGAGGTGGCTGTGCGGGATGAGTACAGGGATGTGTTTGTCGAGGCTCTGCGTGTGATCGATGGGCGCGTGGAGGAGCTTAAGAGGAGGAAGCGCAAAGAGGGGGACGACGCGGCTGAGCAGAAGGGTGAAGAAGAAGCGGTTGAGAAAAGCCATGGGGACGACGCGACGAAACAAAATAGCTGCGATGATGCGTCCAAACAGAATAGCTGGGACGACATCCTCACCGTGAAGGAAGAGAAAGAAGAGCTGACGGAAGAAGAACTGAACGCCTTCTTCCAGATCGTCCAAAGCTACGCAGGGTATCACAACTTTCACTGCTTCACTAAAAACAAAGTAGACCAAACGACCTTCCGATTCATAAAATACTTAGATGTCAGTACAGTCAATTTGTATGACTACAATTTCGTGTCGGTGAAAATCTTAGGTCAGTCTTTCTTAATGCATCAAATCAGAAAAATGTTAACTCTCTCTGTGGAGACCTTTCGAAAAGCCACTTCTCCAGGCTCCATTTATTACTGTCTCAAGTCAGGAGAATATGTACCGATATCACTCTTCCCCGCTGAGGGTCTGATGCTCATTTGCCCGTACTTCAATGCGTACAACGAGAAGGTGTGCAATCCCCCACAGAGCCCCCCAATCTGCTTTCAAGAGAGCGATGAACTTCTGAAATTCAAGCGGGATGTCGTCGCCAAGTGCATCATCGAAAACATGCACAGGAACGTGTAAGTTGGGTTGGACGGGAGAGGGGGGACACACTGTAGAGAGCGGGACAAGCGGAGTCGCGATGGTGGCCTACACATTTGTGTCGAAGCAGCCATACATTTGGGTAGAAAAGTAACCATACCGACCTGTCCAATTAGCCATACAGTAATTCCCACCATACAATCGTGTCAGCTATACACTCCCCATCCACTACCTATTTTTTCCCCTCCGCAGGTGGAAGGACTGGATGCTGAAGATGAACAAGCGCCCTTTTGTGTACCACTTCATGAGGGACAGACTTGGCGATGCGAAGCCAAGCTGTGAGCGGATTGAGTAGCGGATTGGGCAGCGGATTGGCCAGTGGATTGGCCAGCGGACCGACCAAGTATGACGGTGCGCAGAAAGTGAATGGAAAGGGCGTACTCTTCTGCGGTGGCCCCATTTTTCAGTGCGACGTTCCCGCGCTGGCCAAGTGTTTTTTTTTTGCCCCCATACCTACTACTTCACCTACGTGTGTACCCACCTTTGCAACTTCCCTTTGACGATGTGAACTTGGTGATGCCGCCTCCCCTCAGCGGGGGACGCCTTAACAGTAACGGTTCTGAACTGTCCAGCGGATTGAGCAGCGGTTCAACTGAGAAGCGGTTCAACTGAGCAGCGGTTCAACTGAGCAGCGGTTCAACTGAGCAGCCGTTCAACTGTCAGGCTGTCGAAATTTCCAATGTAACGACCCCACCAGGGGAGGAACCCACGGGAGGAAGGACTACCCCCGCATGAGCATATGTCATAAGAGTTCATTTTAGTTGATGCAATTTTATCGATGCATTGTTGTGCGAGGCGCATAATGAAAGAAGACGCAGTGCATGTTTCCCACAGGTGCAACGCGATTTGGTCACGCAGAGATCGACGCAAGCGATTTGGGTGGAAGCCGTATACATATATGTGTACGTATTGGCACCCCCCCTAACTTTTTTTTCTGGGGGGTCACACCTTAATCAGGGTGAGCGTGCCGTTGCTGGAGACAGTGACCAAGTGCGAGTTCGAGAGCAAGTAGGCATCCACGATGGTCGTCTTTTTTTTGTTATTCATGAATTTGGAGAAATTGAATCCAAGGTAGCCAAAATTGATTCCACCGATAATGACGCTCTGGTAAGCTTCCTTGTCACTATTTGCATCTGCCTCGTCCTCACTGTCACTTATCGTTTTGAAGGGGTTCATCGAATTGGAGGACGTGCTGCTTTTCCTTACTTTAGAAGGTGTATTATTATTTTCTTTCAAAGTGGAGGTAGGTTTTTCCTTTCCCTTTTCTTCACTCAGGAGGGGTGTTAATGAGCCAGTTTTCACATCTACAAGGGTTGAGTTGTGAGGGGAGTCGTTCGGCGTGTTGGAGTAGCTTCCCAGGGGGTGGTGGTCGTGGTGCCGCTTCTGCTGTTGTTGGTTTTTCTTCCCGGAGAAGCTGTTACTGGCATTGGGAACGAGGCTGCCAACGCGGTTGACACTGCCAACCGCTGTGATGCTGCCAACAGCGCTGAGGCTGGCACCTCCGGCAAGGTTCGCTGCCGCACTGGGACTGCTTCCATCCCCGAGGCTGCTTCCAATGCCACTAATATTGACATGACCCGTGCTGACGTTGCTGACGTTGTTGAGGCTGCTGACGTTGTTGACGCTGCTGACGCTGTTGAGTTTGTCCTCCCCTCCGGTGTTGTTCTGCTTTTTGGGGTAATTGGAGGAGAGGAAATAGGACAAGTTAAAGATGGAGACCCCGTCGTTCTCGTTTTCTTCCTTTTTTTTCTTTTCCTTTAGTTCGTTTATTTTCTCTTCACAGATGCACTTGTTCGGGGGCACGTCATGTTTTATTTGGACCTCTTTGATGAGCGTTATTTCGAGGGCTGACTCCACTCGGTAAATACGAAGCTGCAGGCAGAGGAAGGGGGGGAAGAGATATGATTGGCGGGGTTGTCCCGGTTGGGGGAGGGACCATGGGTGCACGTGCCTGCATCGGAGCAGTAGAGCAGTGCAGTACAGCGACACAATACCGCAGCACGGAAGGCACGCCACCACACCGTCGCACCGCTGCTTACCCGTGTGTCGGCCAGAACAAGCAACTTTGTGATCAGACTCTTGCACACGAATACCTTGAAGATGGGCACGTCGAAGGCCCGGAAGAAGTGGACCTTCTTGTAGACCTGAAGATGTACCACGTGGATGTAACCCAGCTGGTCTCCATAAAAAACGTAAGCATCTTGAGAAAAGTTATTTGAGCATACCGCCTTATGATTAAAGAGGTGCCAAAAGAGGCCTTTTTTCTTTGGCGTTTCCATCATATGGCTAAGTTGATTGTTCCCCTTTGAAGGGTCTCCTCTCCGTTTGTTTTTTCTCCATATGAGTTGTTCTGCCTCCATAGGATCCTGCACAAGTTTGTACATATAGTTCTGGGATGATAGCCAAGTACAGAATGCCGTAATGGAGTTACCGCTTTCGTTGCTTTTCCTTTTGTTCGACTGGATCTTATTGTCAGGTAAGTTTCCGATGATGCAAACGAGGGTGGGATGAAGAACAGTTCGATTCTCCATCTTCTTGGCACCTGCTTTATTGGTCACTTCATTGCTCCCATAGGCATGGCCGTTAAAGTTGCTATGGGTGAGGTATCCGCTATGGTTGTAGCTGCTGCTATCGTTGTTACTGCTGCTGATGGCGGTGGAGTCGCCATTTTCGACGATCGAATTGGGACCCACGTCAGAAGCGCTGACGGGTATCTTCCCCTTTAAGAATTGTTTCTCCTCGTTGGTCAAAATGGAACACAAATCCCAAACACAGAGACAGACAGTGTCGGCTAAGTCCTCAATATTCCGCAACTTTTTTCTACTCTTAAAAAACATCCCATTTTGAGCATCCAAGTGGAAGAAGGAAGATTTGAAGTATGTCTTTCTCTTCTTAAATACGTGTAGGTTGAAGAAGGCATCGATGTGATTCATTTTGCTTTTCTGCATCATGTGTGGTGGCTGTGGCTGTGTCTGACGATTGTTTTTGTTTTTTTGTTCCAGCTGCTGTGGTGGGAAGTGGTTTTTCTTATCCGGACGAGCTACATCACTTTTGAGGAACTCCGAATGGGCGAACTTCGAACTGGACAGGCTTTTGTGCGCCTCACTGGGGCGTTCCTCCTGCGCGCTGCTTAGTTCGGGGCGGCCATGGGCGTTCCCTTCGGTTTGCGGCTGTTCAGTCGGAGGCTTCTCCTGCTGCCTCTCCTGCTGCCTCTCCTGCGGCTCGCTAACCTCCTGGCTGCGCCGCAAATGCTCCTCGACCGTCGCAAAGTCCGCGTCAATGAAGACGGTGTGGTTGCTCACCGAATTGCGGCTCACCCCCTTGCCGATGCTGACCAAGTAAAAAGTGGAGTCGTCGAGAGATCTCACATCTATGACTTCGTCATGTAGTTTTACCACACACATGGCTTCCCTTATGATGTAACTGCCCTTCCTGCAGCGTGGACGCGGCCTCCTCACCCTCTGCCGTCTCCGCACTTTCCTTTCTCCTCCTCCTTCGCCCGAGGTGTTTTTCTTATTGTTCTTCAGAAAATTGTCCTTAAAGAAATTTCTTATTTTTTTATTGCCATCCTTTATCTTGCTTCCGAAATTGGCGCTTTCGTTGTGCTCCTCGTTTTTTTTGTTTTTCCCATCTGGGAAGGTTTTCCCATTCGGAGTGGTTTTCCCATTTGGGGTGGTTTTCCCATTTGGGGTGGTTTTCCCATTTGGGGTGGTTTTCCCATTTGGAGAGACTTTGCCATTTGGGGAGACATTGCCATTTGTGGCGGCTTTTCCGTTCCTTTCTTGCCCTTCCTGGGGTCCCCGTCCATCCTCTGCACCCCCTTGGTTGGGCTTATCCTCGTTGTGCGTTTCCTCTCCCGCGCGATGACCTTTGCAGCTCCCGTCCTGGGTGCAGCCCTGATCGTCCGAGTGGGCATCGGCGCGATTCCCCCCGGGGTCCTCGCCCTGGTGATAGTCGTGAGAGTAGTAATCGGAGTACCCGTCATGGTATTGATCGGAGTACTCGTCATCGTATTGATCGGAGTACTCGTCATCGTATTGATCGTCGTAATAGCCGTCATAATAGTCGTCATAATAGCCGTCGTAGTCCTCGTTGTAGCCGTCGCCACCCTCGGCGCCCTCGCCGCCGTCGTACTGATCGCGCTCCTCACAGTATTCATGGAGCCGGACGCCCCCCTCGTGCTCGCCTCCACTCGCGCATGCGACTTTGGCCCCCCTGTCGGAGATGTTCTCCCTTTTATGTCCGAAGCTTCTCCCCCCAGAACTGTTAAGCCCATTCCGATCTGCATTGGGATCATTCCCAACACCGCTGACAACCACCTTAGGGTTTACAAAGATCCCTAAAAAAATATTATATATGTATAGGTATCCAGACTCATCAGAGATCATCAGAAAGTTCCCATTAGAACTCCAAGACACACTAGAGATGATCCCATATCTATAAGAGATGTCTTCATAATTCACCGAAAAATTGCACAACCTTATCTGGAAGCGACTTCTATCCATCTGTTGCTGTTCCGACGTTGCAATTTTCTCGTGGTTGATACTTATAAGGGCATAGACAGGGAGAAAGGGATGAGAAATGATGGCTCCTGTCTTTAAAAGAAAAGAACTCTCCTCCTTTTTATTTGACATCTGATTGATGAAGGCGTATTTTTTCCTGAGGCATGTGTTAGCATTTCTTTCTAGGTATTCTTGGAGGTGTTGGAAGTCATTTTTTGTTTTTTTTTCCATTCCCTTTTCTCGTGTAATAATCTTGTCCGAATCGTTTAGCGTTACATTACTGTATAGAAGGAGCATCACCGTCTCGATATACTTCTGTGCAGTTTTGGAGATGGTTACATTGGTTTGTAGTTTGTCCTCTCGTTCGGGCCTTCCCCTGCTGGATGCTCCTACTGCGATGGTTTGGCGGTCAGCTGTGTGGTCCCTTGCCCGATTAGCTGCGTGCTCCCTTGTGTGCTCATTTGTGGGGAGTGCCTTTTTCGTTCCGTTCGATTCGTGCCTCTCACGTGGGGATGAAGTAATCTCCTGAGATGATGGGAGGCGAGACGTATGGCCTTCCTTTAGTGCACCCTCTTTACTCATCTCCATCTTTCCTCGTGATTGACCGTCCCCCTTTTGGTGACAATCAGCTGTCCACGCTGTGTTGACTCCGTCTTCTCCTCCCCCTCCGTAGAATATCGACCCCACGTCATTCGAGTTCAGCAGAAGAGTCATAGTGTTGTCGTAAACATAAAACAGATTATGAAAGAATAGGTTGTTCACAAAATGGCTGTTGTAGGAATGGCTAAAGAGGCTGGTTATGCTGCTGACGCTGCTGTCGTTTGGGACGAAGTTCCTCAGGTAGGAGCATAACGGGGTCAGATTGTGCATGCACTGGATGTGCATGCATTTGTAAATATAAAGAAGCTTGTTCATGTCGATATCGACGAAGATTTTCTGATTCCTTCGGTCGACAGTTCGTCTGTTAGAAGTTAGCCTGTCACCACTTCGCCCGTCACCACCTCGCCCGTCACCACCTCGCCCGTCACCACCTCGCCCGTCACCACTTGTTCCGTTGCCACTTGTTCCGTTGCCACTTGTTCCGTTGCCACCGCCACAGCTCGCATGTGCGTTTCCTCCCTGGTTGTCCTCCTTGCTTATATCACCACTGGACGTGTTTACTTCTTTCCCGATCGGTGCCCCTTTCCCCTGGAGGGAGTAGCTATGCCAGGGGCGGTCCCCATTTGGGGTGGGATGCACAGCCATTTCGACGCTGCGACTGTCACGGTCGCCCCGCACAGGAGAGTTGCCATCCTTATCGTCCTTGGCACCATCAGTGAATTCACCTTTGTGTGGGTTCCTTTTCTCCGCATTGGGAACAGCTTGGGTGAGACTTTCCCCCGTTAAGGCGGCAGCACCCTTTCGCTTCATCTTCCCGGTGCCACTTCTACCCCTAGAAGATCTCCACCTCTCGCCCTTCAAATCGTAATGCGAAATGTAGTTAATAAATCGGCACTTCTTATTGAGCTTCTTCAAATGATCCAAAATGCAGATTTTTTTGATCTTATTCTTTCGATGTATATAAAGGATGGTGCTGTTGTGAGGGTCCATTTTCCCCTGCTCGATGACATGCCTGTCACCTATGTTATTGAATAGATAAGACAGGGGGATGACATGCGGCAGTTTGTTATGTTCTTTTTTTCCTCTTTTGTGCTTTCTCTTCCGAGAGGGGTTGCTCCTCGGGTAGGATCCACGGTGGTCCCGCTGGTTCCCCTTTGCACGGGTCGCTCTGAAGTGGGCTCTGCGCGGGGTGCTCCGACGCTCCCCGTGAGAGCGGCCAAGTCGGCCATCAACGAGAAGTCGGCCATTATCGCCACCACCACCGCTAACACTGCCATCGCTGCTCCCGTTACGCACCGATCGGGGGGTCGCTCCCACGAGACTCTGCTCCATAGGACATCCCTTCCTCTCTGGCGTACCACCCACTGCGTGGTTCCACCTCTGTCCATGTTCACGTTCAGCTTCACGTTCTGCTTCACCTTCAGCTTCATATTCATCTTTATCCACTTGGCTACCGTCCTGACTGCTCCTCCCCTCCGTCTCGACTGTCCCGTGCCTCAAAAGGTGACTTTTAATTTTAACAATGCTGTCATAGTTAACGTGGCCGTACTGTCTCACCTCGTCCTCCTGGATGCTTTCCCTATTTGGCTTCTTCCACAGAGGGGTTTTTCTCCTTTTTTCTTTGTCGATTCGTTTCGCAGCCTCACTGCTACTTCCACGTGCAATAGCACCCAACTTGAGATTTTTGAGGAAGTTCATTCTGGACGTGAAAGAAAAGAGACGGTCGTAGCTTCTGGGCCTCTTAAAGAGAAAGTTCGTTTGGTTACAAGCCATGTTCCCCTTTTCCACGTTTGAAGTTGGAATGACGAGATGGTATTGTTCGGTTAGTCTGCACCCCTCTTTGTAGAGCCGATGGAACTTAAGGTATTCATTTAGGTGGGCGTCGTGGTAACTTCCCTTCGGTTGGGGGCATTGGGCTTGTTGGTCCTGTTGGAAGGGCTGCCCCTGTTGTTCCTTCTGGAATGGCTCGGCTTCTTGACCCTGTTGGCCTCCCCTATGGGAACTCACCACATCGTTAACAGCATCATTGTAATCGTAGAAGTTCTTGTTAAAGAAAAGGAGAAAGGATCTATAAGTGCAGCTATTCATCTTCCATATGGCGTAAAGGGGCTTGTTGTAGAAGAGGGAGATATGTGAATCGATGAAGTGCTCACACAAAACATGATTCTTTTTCTTCGTCTTAATTTTGTTGAAGAAAAAAGGGAAGGACAGAAAGGTGAGGAGGGTGTTCTTAATGTTGTATGCCGATTTGTAGAGTAGGTTCTTCATTCTTGACAGGAGAAACTTATTTACCAAATGACACAAGCTGTCTATGAAGTGGAGAAGAATGCACGTGTTGTAGTAGAATGGGTTCACATGCCTCTTCGTGTTTTCCTGTCCGTACTTGCTGTGTGTGTGGGATGGAAGATGACGACCGCCATGTGGGTCGATTCCTTTTACTGAATGGCTGCCGCTCCCTTGGGTACTTCTCCGCTGGTTATCCATCCCTTGGAGGCCCCCCCCTCGGATAGTCCCCCCTTGACTACCCCTCCCTCGCAGGTGCAGCTGCGGCGTGAAGACGTTCGCCTTGTACGCGAAGATGTGAAAGTTGCCAATGAGCAGTTCGAAGGTAGACAGGAAGATGCTCACAATGCAATATTTCTCGAAGGATAAGTCCTCCGTCGCCTGCGCCGCTGCGGGTGGAAGCGGGAACGCTGCTGGTGGGGGGGGTCTCCCCTTATGCACATAGTCACACGACCGTATGCTGATCTGTGGTTCCATGTCGTTATCATTCTGGAGATTGCTCCTGCTAGAAGGGGTTGTTCCCATGGGAGTCAGATTCACGTCTATGCCTTCGCTGGAGGGCATTCCCACGTCATGCCTCCCATTTCTGCTTATTTTCTTCCTCTTGTTCTTCCTTCCAGGGAGGGAGTTCTTCCCACTGCTCGTGTGCAACCATGGAGAAAGCTTTCCCTTCCTCCCACTGAGGTAAGCACACTTAACGAACTTAATCAGAAGGTCGGCTGTGCTGATGGTTCTGTTCTCCCTGTACACATTTTCAATCGCCCAGTTTAGTTTTTTGATTTTTTTGAGTAGAAGGTGCAAAACGAGGAATAGCTTTTTCAGGTGTGTTCCTTTACGGGTTCTACTTTGGTGGGTTCTAATTTGGTTCTTTTGAGTGTTCTGTATATCCACACAGATCTCTCCATTGTCAAAGAATCCGTAGTGTGTGTCCAGCATGAGGAAGCATATTACCAGCACGGTTAGGTAGCATAGGAAGAGGTCTAGCAGATGGATATGATAAGAAAAAAACTTTCGGTCAACCTTGATGTGGACATTATGGGTTTTTTCTTGTTGGCTGCATAGGTGTTGTCTCGTTCCTCTTGCATCTGGCTCACTGCTGGGTTCACACAGATGATTCGAATCGCCCTTGAGATTCCTCTTCAATCTGCTGGGCGCATGTGTTTCCTGGTTTCCCTCCCGAGCGAAGCAGTTGCGAAGGCCGACGCGGAGAATGACGATCTGGAGGTAGGGGGGGTGGAGGGAGGAGACGGGTTCGCGAAGGGAGGACACCGACACAAGATCGCGCGGGGATGCCGATTCGTACTTGCTATTTTTTGCAAAACTATGGAGAACCCTAACGACGTCATTTACGCAGATAAAGAGAATCGGCAGAATGCAATTCAGTACGAATCGAATGACGTCTTCGCTCTGTGCCTCTTCTGCAATGTGGAGAGTGAAGAAGTGGAAAAATAAGTGGGTCAGGAGGGTGTTGTATTTGTTTAAGGCAACGTACAAATTGGGCAGTGCAGTAAGACTCGGATCTGTCATTCGGTTCTTTGCAATTTCGTAACGCATGTAATGGCTGGCATAGTCTCGATTGACCAGCATCTGGGTGCTCTTCCCACCGTGCATGCTACTTATTTTTTGCAGTAGGGTGGTTAGGAAGCGGCTGAGGTTGCGCCTCCTCGCGCAGTCGTCCTTCGTTCCGATGTCCCTGAGCTTGTTCATCAGGCGCAGCATGGCCGGTGCGGGTTCGACCGCGCCATGCGTATCGCCAAGTGTTTTACAGTTCGATTCGCCATACGTATCACCGTGCAGGTCAGCGTGCGTACCACCATGACCGCTTCGCCGTTCGCTGCCACCGCTCCGGCTGATGCACTCAAAGAGCAAATGTACCAGCCGCGCAAACAGCTTCAACGATTGAGTGAAGTCAACGGAGCTGTCTCTGTCCTCCCGTTCGCCCCTCCCTACCCGGGACCCCTTCTCACAGGAGGAAGGAAAAATAATCTGAAACAGAAATTTATTTGCACCGAGAATGGTCTCCAAGCAGGCTTCGGAAGAGACGCACAGGAACAATTTGAGTTTGTCGTGGAGGAGAATCAGCTCTTCGTCTTTATCCGTGTTGTGAAAAAAGAGGAACAGCAAAATGAACGATAGGTTGCTCATCTGTTGTGAGCAAAAGTGGAGGGAGGTCAAATAGCACTCGATTTTGCTCATCCTAAAGGTGTAGTCATCTTGACGGCAGTCGTCTAGGCTGTAGTCGTCTTGATCGTCTTGGCTGTGTCCGCCTTGGCCATACCCGCACAGAAAAGCCGTCCTCAGTGCATCCCCCTGTCTTTCCGCCTGTCTCCGTCTCTTTCTCCTTATTCTACCCATTATTACATTTTTTAACACCAGAAGGAGAAAATCGTACCTCTTTGGCTCCTTACATTTGGAGAACACCTCTTCGTAGTTTCCTAGCAGGATGTTTTTCATCACGTCCAGGTAGCTTCTCTGCGGAAGGGGGTACCTACGATGAGCACCTTCATCGCGGTCCGCCTTGAGCTTCTTCGCAAAAATGTAGTCCAAGTGTTCCTCCAGGAAGTTACGCGGTTCCATCGGAGGGTGGCACGGCTCCATCGAGTAATCACGCGGCTTCTTGGAGTAGTTGCTCGATTTCTCTTCGACTTCATTGCTCGCCCCTATCGATGCCACTTCCTCCATTCCGCTGATCTCGCTGATCCCGCCTGCCTCGCTGGAGGGGAGGTAGCTGCTGCCCGGCACCGCGGACACGCTGGAGTCGCCTAGGACGCTACCACTTCCCCCCAACGGGAGGCACACTGCGGGCACCAGAAGGGGATTTCTCTCTTCCCGATACTGCCCCTTCTCCACGTAAGAGGCATAAACGAGTCTGATGAGGAAGACACTCAATTGCGGGTCGTCTAAATATTGATGAACCACATCAATCACGTCCTTGATGTCCCCACGAAGGATGAAAAAGGCGATGGCAAGATGGTATCTTTTAATCTGCATCAACTTGTACGCATTGTTCATCAGAGCGTTACGCCATCTTTCCTGAGAAAAGTCATTTGAAAGGAAATCAAAAAGTTTCTGTTGCTTTTTAATCTTGTATAACATCATCAGTTTATGTTTCTCGTTTTTTGCTAGGTATAACAATGCGAGGAAGTCCAGACATTGATTCACTTCATTCTGTTTCTCTTTGTCGTCCACATTAAGGCTGTTCATTTTTTTTATTGTCCTGTTCGTCAGCACCTCGTGCAGGGAAAATAAGTTGTCCCTATCGTGCAATACATAAAACAATTTCATACATCTGAATGAAAAGAAAAAACAAAACTTTTGTACTTCCTCTTCCACCATGCTGAGGTTTTTCATTTGTTCGACTAGGACATTCAGCTCTGCTTGTGGGGGGGCATCTTCTTTGTGTGTCCATCGTATGAGGCGCCCAGGGGAGGAGGCAAAAAGGGAAGAGGGCATCACTCCTCGATCAGCATTGCAGTGGTAGGGAAGTGCGCCAGTATCGAAGTGGGAACCGCGTCTCCCATCGAAGTGAGAGGCGATGCCAACACCACTCATGTCGAACAGGTCGACGCTCCTCAAGTCACTGCTACTAATGGGGAAGCGAAAGGAGTGGTTATAATGGATCAGCAGATTCTCCAGATAACTACTCAGCTCCACCGCAAGCTTCTCACGCACAAAATAAAGGAGGTAAGCATACTTGTGGTGAATCTCCAGGGTTATATTTAGGAAGAGACAGCAATTGATGTAGAGGCGATAAAGGAAGAGGATCACTTGGGTCATGCTGCTTCCGTTGGGTTGTGTTCCCTCGTCTCCACTGCCACGAACGTGATCGCACAGGTACATGTTTTCTGTCTTGAGGAGCTCTTTCTGGAGGTGCAGACGGAAGTGTTCACAGTGGCATCTGCAGGATTGTTTGGAGGTGTGTCCGCCCGTTTGGGCAGCGGGGTCTTCCGATGGGTGGCTGCTGCCGAAGTCGTCACCTCCACCTCGACCTGCACTTACACTGCTTCCGACGCTTTCACTGTCACTGTGACTGGCATTATCACCCGCAGGGGGCGCCACAAAATTGACGCAGAATGCGTTCAGCACGCAAAAGAGGAGGAGCTGGTCGAAGGCTCTCAAGTGAGGGATATTCACATGGAGCAGCAGGATCTGCAGCATCTTCACCTCTTCGGCCGTCAATTGGCAGTTAGTCACGCTGGCGTTTTTCAGGTCAGACTTGAACTTCCGCTGCGCCCGCTCCAGTTCGTCTTCGCTGAGCTCGCTTCTATCACTCCGATCGCTTCCATCACTACGTTCGCTTCGATCACTACGTTCGCTTCGACCATCGCTTCCATCGGAACGTCGCGACGGGTGGAGGGATTTTTCCTGCTCCCCACTCTGCTTCGACGGGGCAGATTCCTCCTCATCAGAGTTCAGATTAAAATCGTCCAACGACACCGACTCGACTTCGAAGAGGTACATGGATTTGTCCTTATGGCCCCCCGTATCGTCATTATGGTTCCTCCCTTGTGGGGGGGGACCCCCCTCCCCCTGTTCCTTCCCATCGGTGTCTCCTCCACAGACACGATTAGGGACACCATTACAAACACCATTAGAAACACCATTGACCATACCTTGCACATTCTGTCTAAACTTTCCTATCTCAGTGGTCAAAAAATTTAAGTTAAAAAGAAAGTGGCTCTTCTGTACACTGCATATGTCTCCAAAGTTTTCCTGGACGGACTTCCTCAGATTGTTGTCATTCAGTAGGACGTGCAGAGAGCAGTGCTTCTTGATAGAACCCCCCCCGTCCCCTGAGCTGTTACTTCTACGTTTGATCCGCTCAACATGACTATAAAATCTGTTTAGAAGAAGGCTCAGGAGTAACTTCAGTGCCATAAAGACATGAGAGAAGAGACCCATCTTTATGTAGTGTAACAGTCCGAGGGGGTGATAAAACACGTGATGTCTCTTTCTGTAGGGGAGGGAAGTCCCTTCCCCGCCTGCTTCTCCCTCGATATGCCCTTCGCCTTGTATGCGGCATTTCTTCAGTTCGTTGCACAGATTGATTTTGCGCTGGGAGATTTTGTGCCCGCGGGGGGACCTCCTCGGAGTGTCAGCTCGGGTGTCAGCTCCGGGGGCAGCTCCGGTGGCCGCTCCCCTGGCCCCTCTGACGGTTTCCCCCTTTTGACCACGCAAACCACTGCTGATGGGTCCCCCGTTGAGCAGCGTCCTCTGGGTCGGTTCCCAAACGAAGCCCCTCTTCTGCGCCCCACCCAGCAGGAACAAGTTATTTTCAAACAAGAACACCTGCTTGGAGCGGAGGAAGGGGTTCCTCTCATCATTTAAAATCTTCCACTCATTGGGATTTGAAGCGTCACAGAAGAGAACCACGGAGATGTAGTATTTTTTCTGTGCTAACAACTCGTCCGTTGCCTTGCCACTACATGTCTTGTTTCCCCTATGATGTCTTTCCTGTTTAAGCTGCTTCAAATTGACCAAAAAGCTCGCTACAATGAAATGTATGCCTTTTTCACCTGAACAAGTCATACACAATTTTGTTTTTTTATTTGCGAACATTTTGGGCAAGGGGATCGAAACGAAGTTTACGATGTTTGTGCTCTCCATGGGGGGAGGTACATTTTCCATGTGGATCTGTTCCATGGTGGCCTGTTCCATGGTGGCCTGTTCCATGTTGGCCCCTTCCATGCTGATTAGATCGTTACAAACCGTCTTGAGGTTCAGCACTTGCAGTTTCGTCTTTGTGAGTAGGAGGACATAGCTGTCGTGGAGGACTATATCGACGAGGTCGGGGACATTTCTAATTTGAATATGATGAGAGATGGATCCGCGTTCCTCGCAGAGGAGGTAAAGGTTGACCACTTCGTTTAAGTGTAATGATATCTCTTCAGTCCTGGTAAGACACTCCTCCTCGGCTAGGGCTTCTCCCCTTGAGGGAAACAAACCGTTATGTTTGTTCTGCCCTTCTTGCTTGGGGTCTCCATCATCCAGAACCAACACGTATTGTCTGTCCCGCCAGGAGGAGGTTCCAACGTGGAGGAGACCCTTCCTAACGGTGAGGACATCTTCCCCGGGGTGGAAAAAAGGATCGTCGTCATGATTCTCCCAAGGTTTTCCCTCCACCAGTGCGTAGTTACCACCCATGCGGATGGAATTCCCATTTTGCTCATTCACAGTGTAAGATCGTCTCTGTAGCTGAAGCGAGCTGGTGGTACCCCCACCCAGGGTGTGATTCGTGGCGACAATAAACTTGCCTTGGTAGGAGAGGTGGACGTACGAGAATAGGAGCTTCTCCTCCAGCGAATGAAAAAAGGTAAACATCTGATTCAGCTCTAAGTTGATGTAAATAAAACTATCTTTCTGAATGTGCACTGTAGAGAGCGTAACTAAGTGAGTGTGTTTGGTCCGCTTATCCGAGCTGGTATAGCTATATTTAATAATTAGGAATAAGTAGTTCTGACCGTTTCTACTGTGGAGGCGGAAGTCACTTATCTCGTGTCGAGTCACCATGCAGGGCACGCCTTCTTCTTTGTAAATGTCCTCCTGCGCTTTGCTGAGGTAGACATTGTTGTTCGGTTCGTTCGGGGGGGGGGAACCACCTTGCAAGCCGCTTTGGAAGCCGCCCTGAAAGCCTCCCTGCAAACCGCCCCGCAAGCCGATTAATGGAGATCCCTCGTCAAAGATGCACAACATTTTGGTACTATGGACGACGTCCCGCGTCTCCGACTTGAGCGCGAAGATGCACTCTCGATTTCTGTCGACGCATAGGACCACGAAAAAGGAATCAAATGAATCGATAACTGCGCTTTTGGAAGACAACGGAATGGTATTCTTCTTTTCTAGAAACTGGCTCGTCGACATGAACACGTGTGGGTTCTTCCTCACTTCTTCATAGATGCTACACATCTGGTACGAGTATGAATAAACGAAATGAGCCTTCCTCCTGAGCGTGTCACTTCCCTTGTGCTTCAGCATATAGTACCGGTCAATGTACATGCTGTTTAGGCAACATATGGGGGTGAAGGCCCTTCTCTTTTTCGTTAGTGCGCCTTCGATTGAAGTATGGTTATTCCGATGGGAGCTCTTACGTGCCTTCTGTTTAGTCTGTGTCTTCCGCTCACTCTGTGTCTTCCGCTCACTCTGTGTCTGTTCTACTTGTGCGATACCTTCCATCTCGTAACCACCCGATGGGGAAGCTTCCCCTGTTTTTTCTCCCTTTAGTAGTTTATTAACGCTCCTGTTGGTTGCGCTCGGATAGGTGGCACCTTCTAGTGGGTTGATCACCCTGTCGTCATTGTTACGATGACTTTCGAATGAGTACCGACCATCTCTGGTTGGCCCGCTTCCACCTGTCATTCCCTCCGCTTGGAGGGGAAACCCATGAGAGAAACTCCTTCTGCGTTTAACTCCCATGTCGAAGTTGTAGAGGTATATCTTCCCGTTTGGATTATCCCGCACCAGGACGACATTATGGTTGACGTTAAAATGGATTTCGCAGTTCTGTTGAAGGATTGGCTCCTCCTGGTCTGCTTTGCTCGATAGAATGTTTTTTTTTTTTTCCCATTTGGGAGACGGTTCGCACGCTTTGTAATGTAGCATGTACCTTACACTGACGCTTTTTTTTTTTTTTATCCATATGTCACTCGGTTTTATCCTAATTCTGTAGACGTCTCCGTTGTATGTCGAGATCGTGAGAGCGAATGGGGGCATCAAGCTGCTCACTGTGCTGAAAAGCTTCCTAAAGAGGAGGAAGTCATTTTCTTTGATGTTGTCCCTGCGGCGGGGGGGGTGTCTCCAAAAAGTACTCCCTCCATTGTGCCGATCATCGGGGGCACCACCAAAACCGCCGTAGTCGCTTCTGCCCTGTTCGCTGTGATCTGTGATGGAGCTGCTACCACTCGAGGAGAGTGAGCACTCAGTGACGTCTGCGTGGTCCCACGCAATGAACTCGCGTGCCACAACCCTATGGGGAGTACTACTCCTGTCTAGTAGGAGAGAATCCGAGAGGGGGCATATTTTTTTTATCTTCCATTGGCCGAACTTGATGTGATACTCGTTTTCTGGGAGGAACGTATCATCGGTGTAAACTGAAATGAGGGACGTGTTAAGAGAGCCATATTTGATCTTTGCCTGGAGGACGCATTCGTAGTGGAGGTTTATTGGAATATTTTCGTAGCTGAGAATGTTCTTCACGTGGGCGTCGTGGCTATGCATGTTGAAGATGGCGTAGATCGAGAAGACGGAGAAGATGGCTTGCTCCCGTTCGTCGAACCGGAGGGGTGCGCCTCTTTTCCCACTTCTCCCACCCCCACGTGGACGCCACTCCTTTCGAGAGCCGTACACAATAAAGTATTCATTCCTTGCGATGTTTGCATTTCTGTTGCTGCTCCAGAAGCGACAGTACTCTTCGCTACTCGTGTCTTTGTCGACCCAGCACCATTTTACACACCTAATCATTTGCTCAAAGGAGGGTACATAAATTCGGCACCCAGACACAAAGGTGAGTTTGTTCTGGCTGTTGGTCGCCTCCCTCCAGATGTAGACATATCCATCGAAGCAGATCGACGTGACTACACAGAAGGGGTCGTTTTGTCTCTCCTTCCACTTAACTGAGTATACCTCGCTCTGGTGATGTAACACACTTAACATGAAGACGCCGTTCCGATCGCTGTAGGCGTTTCTCCTTCGTCGATAGTATGTGTGGCGAGCTTTCCGAGGTTGACAATCGTGCCGACCGTGCCGAGTGTATCCACCGTGGTCGCTTCCCTCGGAGGAGTCCTCTTCCGTGTCGTCGTTCGAGCTGTCAGAGGGGCTCTCATCCGTGGAGTTTTCCGAACCCCCCGGGGAATACTCCTCGGAGGAGTGGTCCGAAGATTCGTAAGACTCCCCATCGCTACGAGTGTCACTGGGGTCGTCACTCCGGTCGTCACTGCGGTCATCACTACGATCGTCTGTACTGTCGTCGACGGCGCCACCACTGCGGACATTGCTCCCCCCTCCGAACGTTTTACCCCCCCCGGGCGAACCCGCAAATGCAGACTCCCAATACAAGGACTCAAAGCTGAGGTTTCTTTTGTCCCTGTTGACATCGGTGCACATCCCCCCCTCCCTATCTTTAACATCTTCCCATAGTAGCGACGTCTTCGTCTTTATAAATGGGTTCTGATTGGAGCTTCTTCCATTCAGAAGGTCATCTATGTCTCGAAGTCGGTTGTCCTCCTTCTGCCTCCTTCTCCGCCGACGCGTTCCCCTTTTTGCCGCTACATCTGCGGCTACTTCTGCGGCTACTTCTGGCACTACTTCGGCCGCCAGTTCTGCCGCCACTTCTGTCGCTACTCCTACTTCTTGGCTATGTCCTCTAGCGTCTGCGGGGCTGCCTCCTCCGCGTGCACGCCTCTCACGTTGGGCGGCACCCTCACTACCCCGGGTTCTTTCGCCGCCCCCTCTGAGCACCGCCTCGTTAAGACAACATATAAAAACCATCCTGTTTTTTTCCCTGTGCTTCTTCCTCTGCGTCTCCTTGAGTATGCCTGCGCCGAGATAAACGTATCCGGGTGCTCCCCGGGTCTCCGGCGGGGCTACCGACTGCATTGCAGCCTGCGTCCCAAGCTGCGTTGCAGGCCGCGTCACTGGATAGCCATGCGGCTGTACATCCATGTAGTCGCCGCTCGGCTTGAAGCAATACTTTATCACGTCCTTTACGATTAGGTCATTGTAGAAGATCCCCCCGTAGGGGAATGTGTCATAGGAGCTGTACGTGCGTTCATATTGCCAACGTTTGCCACGAACCCGTTTCAACACGTGGATTCTATTATCTAGATTGGGTTCTTTCTCCAGATGCAGCAAATTCTCGTTGTGGTATTCATCATAACATGGCTCTCTGCTTCCCCTGGCCTTCGCATGGTTCACGGGGGGGTCCATTTTATGCAGCACGTCTCGCTCGAGTTTGCTTCTTTTTCCCGGATGCGTCTTCTCTACTTATCCGCGATGGATTCCTTTCCGACTTTACAGGTTCATGTCTACTTTGGCTTTCGGTCGGGGAGCGGGTGCACCAGGGTGCCAGGAGAGGAGTTCCTAGACTAAACCCACCACGAGTTAACGTCCCGGGGGTAGGCTCACTACGAGTTAACGTCCCGGGGGTAGGCTCACTACGAGTTTAACGTCCCGAGGGGTGAACCCACCACGCTTAAAATCAACACATCAAATTCGACGCGTCAACCTCACCACTTGTATGTGATTCCTTATCACTTCCCCCTTCGTGGAGCGAGTCCCCCTTTATGTTGGGTGAGCCCCTCCACAAGCAGATACACGGCGCTTGCCAGATGCGCTCACGCGTGTGTACGCCAGCTAACTACTAACTTAGCTCTGACCAGGAGCGCACGTCCGTCGTTACATAATATATGCACGTGGGTGCGATTAGAGCGGTCTGATTGGGGATGCCCAGTGGGCCCCAGATGAAGTAGGAAAGGAACCTCGCGAGGTAGCGTGTTATAAGCTTATCTCTTACGTGGCGTTCATTTTCTCCTCTATCTTATTTTACTTTATTTTATTTTATTTTTTTTTTTGCATCAAGGCATACGAATGGGTAATACTTCCAGGTTAGCGAAAAAAAATTGGCAGCTTGAGAGGAGCGCACTCAAAGGAGGAGTCGAGTTTTCAAGGTATGCTGAGGTGTCATGAGATGTGATGAGGTATGCTAAACTAAGCGACTGCGTAGGAAGAGTATGCATACAAGTCTGCATTCTTTGTGTTGGCTCTTTCGCCGTGACATTTTTAATCGTCACGCTGGTGCGCCATTTTTGTGCTCACGCGCTATGCACAGTTCTTCGCTTTTTTTTTTTTGTGCTGTTTTTTTTTATACTGCCTTTTTTTTATACTGCCTTTTTTTTATACTGCCTTTTTTTTATACTCCCTTTTTTTTATACTCCCTTTTTTTTATACACCCTTTTTTTATACTCCCTTTTTTTTATACTCCCTTTTTTTTATACTCCCTTTTTTTTATACACCCTTTTTTTATACTCCCTTTTTTTTATACACCCTTTTTTTAGACTCCCTTTTTTTTATACTCCCTTTTTTTTATACACCCTTTTTTTATACTTCCTTTTTTTATACTCCCTTTTTTTTATACACCCTTTTTTTATACTTCCTTTTTTTATACTCCCCTTCTTTTTTTTTTTTTTATCCTATCCTGTACACCGGTCCCCTCAACGCGATAGCCCCAGTGACAGTAGCGAAACGCGTCTGTGTGTTTGGGTTCTCCTTTTCCCAAGGAATTAGAAAAGAAAGGAAAGGAAAGAAGAAGAAAAGAAAGGAAAGGAAAGAAGAAGAAAAGAAAGGAAAGGAAAGGAGAAGAAAAGA